GGCGGCTTTTTTCAGCCCAAAAAGTGGGCTGAAAAACTAGGCTTATACTTGAGTATATACAGTAGTTAACTCCCTAGAAAATAGAAGCTCTGGAAAAAAATGGAATCACTAGACCGTAATATTAAAATAAAGGCTAAATAGCAGAAAAGCAGATATTATAAAAGGCTGCTATATCTCAACAAAATGTATCGTTAGTAATAGATAATTTTAACTTAACATTGCAGGTAATTCTTGTTTAGTGACTACAAATGGCAACTCAGTTCTTAACCAAAGCAGTCACTAAATGAAACTGCAACTGTATTTATGATCTTACTTTAGCTTTCCTTTGCTTTACCAATCTGTAAAGGTCCTAAATGCAAGGATTGGTCACAAAGTTACCCCTGCCTCCTATTTCTAAATGTAGTAAATGGGAATTTTAATTCACATTTAGACACCATGAGTACTGGCATTTTGACCATCCCAGGGAAACAATGGGATTTTCCAAAAAGTCTCTTATGAATGCTGCTCCATTTTAGCATTCTGCAAATTACCTTTAATTGTTCCATATGTGTATGGATCTAATTACACAAAAATCTCCCCTGAATGACTGATAACAGAAAAGGATGTGTATAACTGAAAAATAGAAGTGATTTCCAAATTACAATTTAGGAGGGTGTCATATTTCTCAACATGCACCACTGTGAAATATTAAACGCTTTTTTTGAATATGAAATTGAAGACATTAATATGAAAGTAGAGGAGTACAACTTCATATTCCCCATGGAATCTAGTGTTGCAAATAGTCTAATTTCTTTGGAAAAGTTCATATATTGAAACTAAACTAAAATTATAAAGGGAAGAAATTAAACATTGTCTATAAACAAGCTAAACTTGTCAGAATCACCTGGGATATAATCTGACCATGTATCATGGGTGAAACATCTTTACAGGATGGATTTCCAAACCAAAAATGCCCTAATCATGGCATGCTATCTTGTAGTATTACTTTTTGAATTCTGTCCTATTAATACTCTGAGTATATTATATGTTAAGATCAAAAAGTTATAAACCCAGGATGCAGAATCTATTCTAGCAAGAAGAGGAAGTAAAAGAGCAAAATTTGAAAGGGATAAGGATAGATTGTAGTGGAAATGCCAAAATCCTTGTGCATTTTGAAAAGAGTTTTTAGAGTTTAGAGTTTAAAACGCTAAACTCTAAACTCTATTTTGAAAAGCACAGGAATGATGGGGAACCATTGCATCTGCCATACTTAGATCTTGGACAGATGTGGTCTTCACCACCAAAGCCTTTTGTGACCTTCAGACCTGCTGTATGATTTATACATATACAACTTACCTTTTTCAGTTATGTAATAACCATGATATAACTTGGGAATTTAGGAACTATCATCTCCTATACAATATTTGCCGCTTACTACTTGCATTTATAACCTTAACTCTGAAGGAATGTACTTCATAATAGATGAGTATATGGCTGGGAGATCATATCATGAGTATATAAGTGCCCTGTAATGCTTCCTTCAACACAGACCTGAACTACAGAAGTTGAATTGTGATTGCCAAGTGATCTCTCTGTTGCCATTCTCCAAGAGTTATGGAGTTTAGAGTATTTGAATCCATAAGAGCATTAGATTGTCAATAGGTTGGGGACCAGTAGTGAAATACATAGACAATGTTGGTATTTTTCCACATTTTCTTATCTTGATCTCTAGTCAAACCAACAGTTAATGAAAGGAGTGGCTGTACGGAGGTTTCTGATTGGCCAATATTAGACCAGCTGTCTAAACATCAGGATCTGACTTCATAGTTCAATTAATTAGGAGATTTTATTGAATCTTTATTAGAGGCATGAGTAAAATGGGGAAGGAACCTGAGTAATTTTCCATTAAACTTAATCCTGCTCGTGTTTTCCTCTCCTGAACCAACTCTGATTTATGGATCTAGTACCTTTGAAAGATCACAGGACTGAATGTTCATAACAAGCAATTACTGCTTAATTCAGAAGATGTTTTCTTCAGTAATTGGGTAAATTATACTCACGGAACCATACAAATGGCTGAGAAATACACTGAACTCTATGTGTGCAAACTATTACATTCAGAATTCAACATCCAACTAAATCTGTGCCCCTTTTTAATGCTCCTTTGTTCTATTTTCACATTATTCCCACATGAATTACTTACCTCCTACCCATCCAGCTATAAAATCATCCAACTGAAAGCTGCCCGTTTTACCATATCTTAAGCAGTCCTGTTCATTTTTAGTCTTGGGTGATGTGGTTACATTCATCTCCTTCAGCACCGGGCAAGCAACAGAAGAGAGTCTCAATGTGCCTCTTTTAAATGTTTTTTTTTATCCTATTATGACTGCAGAGCAGTGGTTTCTTTGACAACTTTCAACAGGCTCAGAACTCAAATAACTCGATTCCAGTCTCTGTTGCTCTTCCCTGCAAAAGTGCCTTCAAAGCACAAAGTGACCTCATAGTCACAAAGCTTAAAGGGACAGTACAATAAGAACCACAGGTTCCAGAAGTCACTCTAGCATGTTACTAATTAAAGGCAAATAGGTAATCTATTGTCAATGTAGAAAATAATGAACTCTTTATGTCTTGTATATTTGGTTTTGTAACCAAACCAAACCAGACCAAACCAAACCAAACCAAAATTGTATATGTGGAAGCTAAATTGTTCAGAGTGAAAACATCCAAGTGACTACAGCATTTCAGAAGAATGGTGATGAAAAAATATTATAACCTGAAAGTTTTATGATACTCCTCCCTAGGTTGAATTTACAATGGAACTGCATTCATCCAGTGATGGAACAGTATCTGCTATTGGAAAAGAGTGAGCCTGCATTCTTTAAAACTGTCCTGTTGAATTGAGGCTCCTTTAAAGCAGATTTTGAGAATCACCAAGAAGCTGAAAGGATAGGAGAAAAAGGATGACAGAAGATGTAACTGAAACATTGAGAAGATGTGATATTTTAATAGTATTTTCATAGGAATTGAAGTATCGACAAATTGGATTAAATAATAATGGATTCATTTGTTTTCTTAGCTCTCCCTGGTACTCTCAGGAGTTTTCTCTAATATCAAAATTTAAATGTTTCTGTAATGCCAAAGTTCAAAAAAAAAAAGAATAATCTTTCCGTCCTGTTTCCATAGACTGTCACAGGAAAAACGATGCTGGTGTCATTCTGATTTTTGTAGATTATAGCCTACTCTATTTGTAGAGTACATATAACATTTTTGGCAACTGAATAGCTTTTCCCAGACTTTCATTGGTGCTGAATCAAACCCTTGTCTATGTCATATTTCTTGATTGTTGGTTCCTTTACTGTTGGTAGCTGATCGTCAAAGGCAGAAGATACCCACCACTTCAGTATCTTCATTGTCAAAAGTTATACCTAGATTACCATCATATATGACATACTTCATTATAAAACTGGGGTCTGAACTTTGCTCTATCCTCCCCCTTTCACCAAGTTTACAGTCTTACGGGTTGTTAACTTGTAAACTCAAGATTTGTGTTTCCTTGCTGTTGGTGCTGTTGATTTTTATACATATAAACTGGTTTCAGGGTTATTTGGGCTGAAGAGTTGAATCAAATCCTTTAATGAAAAATCAAAGTGAAAAAAGTTAATCATGCTTTAAGTCTCGTTACATTTTAATGTCACACTGAGTTTAATGACATTGGTATCCAGCTCACTAACTTTAATGCAAGATATTCTTCCATGCTTCTGAGTTGGAGTTCTGTTATAAAGGAAGTTTATTTTAAACTGATAGGCAAATATGATATATATGTATCAGAAATATATATATATTAATGCCAGTGAGCTTTTTAATTATTATCCCCATATTTTAATTTTTATAAATGTATAGAATTTAGGATACTTTTAAATTACAGCTACTAGAGTTCTATGTGAGATTTAATACTGATAGTCCTCAAGTTAAGACCATTTGTTTAAGCAACCATTCAAAGGAATGACCATTCATTTAGACTGCTGAAAAAAGTGACTTATGACTGGTTCTCACAGTCATTTGATCACAATTCAGATCCTTGGCAATCAGCTAGAACTTAAACAATCCTGCGGTGACATGATCACCATTGCTGACCATTTTAGCTGGTTTCAGACAAGCAAAGTCAATGGGGAAGCTGGCAAGGAAGGTTGTAAGTCACAGTCATGTGTCTCACTTAATGCCCGTAGCTATTTGCTTAATGCACCAGAAAATTGGATATATTCATGTAATACCATACCTACTGATCAAACCACTTAACAATATTTCCAATCTCAATTGTGGTTGTAAATCAAGGACTACCCATAGCTTCTTTTGTCTTAAACCCGCAATTTCCAGATGTTTTAGCTATATTGGTTATATGTTTAATATTTTTTTTCAGCTCCTTAATATATGAATTGTAGCCAGACTGAGGTGAAACAACATTAAATTGTTTTGTAACACATAAAAGCTTGTACATCACTACACATGCCTGGTCTCTGGAACTCAGCTGTCCCTTTTCTTCTGTTTTACATTCACCCATTACTTTAAATACTAACACTTCTAGAAACTACTCAGATAGGCATTCACATTATATAGCTTCATGGAGAAGAGAATTTTCCTTTTTATTCCTGTATTTAGCTCCCTCTTTTTGTTCCAAGATATGACCAAGACTTATAATTGTAAAATGTTTATGCAAATGTCATGTATGCATGTTCTACACTCCTCTGTTTCTCAGTCACAATTACTTTGAATAGATTCAAATGCAGGACCATTGTTCATCTCCATAGGGTTATCCTGCATGATTAATTTGATTTGGGATCAGGTTACTAACAGCACTTCAATTGTTATCAGATTTGTTCCTGTGTATCTTCCACTATTGTTACTATTTATGCTAAATTTTTGTTCACATCAGAATTGATCCTTAATACAGAAAGAGAATATGAAATACATGAATAGCACAGAAAGTACATAGATAGAAATATTTGAAGACAGATTCCTAAAGAACTAAACCACTGGATGTTCTACGAGTAATTATAACTGTTGTCTGAATGCTGAGAATTGGAAAAGCAATTTCAAAATTTTGAAATATAAACTCTGTGTGTGTGTGTGTGTGTGTGTGTGTGCATGTACACACACTCCTGCACAGGGTCTAAAACAGCATAATTAGCATTGTCGATGTATGTCTATCTATAATTACACTCTTTGACTTATGACTGCAATTGAGCTCGGAATTACACTTGTAAGACATACCAGTCATTAAGCAGGCTACTTGTGTCCTGTGCCCAACTTTATGCCCTTTTTGCATGTTTCTTTTACCAAATACTGTGGCCATTAACCAAATCCAACTCGACCAATGCACACTTTTTTTTCTTACTGGAAACTTGAAATAAATGCCAATTTCCAGCTAAAAAATTGTAGATTGAGGTCATATGACTGCTGGATACTGCAAATGACTGTAAATCAGGGCTGGTTGCCAAGCATCCAAAATACGATAATGTGACTGCAGGAGGGAGGGGTTGGTCCTCAGAATTTTGAAATTGTATTGTAAGTAGCTCTGGTGATATTTGTCACAATTTCAGAAGGTCACTAAGTCATAATGCTCATAAATCAAGGAATGTACACACGCACACATATACTCATATATACCCATACATACTATACATACATACATACATACATACATACATAGCCATAGCCATAGCCATAGCCATAGCCATAGTCATAGTCATTCCAGATAGAGGCTAAAAATGTGATATAACAAAAAAAAATGAGATATAACAACCTGTTCTAAATTTGTACTAAAAAATGAGATACAACAATCTGCATAATTGTCACAAAAGACAAAATTTCTATCTTCTTGGAGAGAATATACATCTCTCTTTTCCAATCTAAACATTTGGTATCTCACCAGAGGTGGGTTCCTACCAGTTCGCACCTATTCGGTAGAACCGGTTCGTCAAATCTACCGAACCGGTTAGAAAAGGTTCCACCAGTGGACCCAGAAAGCAGGCCACACTACAGAAGAGGTTCCAACCACCACTGTATCTCACTGTGGAGTATGTGCATTCAGGATCCAGAGAGTTCTAAAATAATACTGTACTTTGAATGAAAGAGGGAACTGCTTCATGGACTTTACAGTAAGCAACCAACCTATCAGAACTATCATTCTTCATGGTTATTCTTTACCATTCTATCATGGAATCTGACACTAAGTTGCAAAGGGAGGGGTTCTTTCCCAAGGAGCTAAGAGACAAATTGGACTTGGAAAAGGGCCTTGAGGGATTCTTCCTAAACCTTCACAGGATATAGCTGATAGTTATGCAACTATATACTTTAGTCTGGCAAGGTTCTGTTTCTGTGCAAGTAGCAGTAAACAAACTATTCAATCAATTCATCATGTTATTCACAGTTCCTTGTGCCCAACAGATACAGATTCTGTGACACATTAACAGGGATAATGAATTTCATAGCATGATCATCTCCATCATATACTTTTTCCCAAAGGTAACCTATTTCAGTCGGAAAGAATGATTAAACTAGAGATAATTCTTCTTTGCATAGGAAAGCCTTACCTGTGAGTAATTTAACATAATTGCATAAACATGATTTTAACAATGATATTGAAACATCTACAGAAATAAAATACTTTTCAACCAAGATACAAAAACAGACTATACAAAGTTAAAACAGTCTAGCAGTTATGTTTTAGCTATTTTATTTTCGATAAAAACAAGTAGTTAAAAATATAAGTTTTTTTAAAAATTGCAGCCACCTCCTAACACCTTGTTATTGCTAATGCTTTCAAACTGTTTCCACTGTTCCCAGAGATTTCTAATTGCCATGCCCTAAATCTTTTGTGATATCTAACTCCAGGCAGAATATCATAAATAATATTGTTTATGAGTTTATCAAGTTAATGATTTGATAACCATCTGGATCAGGCCTTATGGCACATATAGGTTTTTTTAACCAGTAGTAGTAGTAATATTCCCTTATTGTTCTTCAGTTGTATTTTGTAAGTGACTCAGTCGGTAGACTTACTAGCTTAGATATAAAAAGACTTTCTATTATAGGCCTGTGCCATCTTTAAATTTGATTCTAAAAAGATTCTACAGTACAGGTAGGAATGCAAACATAACACCCATCTTCATTCTTTAAAGCAAATTCATATGGTTACTCTCTGCACCTGATATCAGATATAGGACTGGAAATAGCTGTTTTAAAGCCACGGATACAAGTTCTATAATAGAACTCAATTTGCTTTCAAGTACCTATCTGTCCTCAAAGATGAAACACTACATGACCATATTATGTTATGATAAACAGCAGCCACTCTGGTTTATACACCTCCTGTGGGATGATACAAGTAGTCCTGGGATTCTGATCGCAATTGGAACTAGGTTCATGTTTATAAAGTGTGATGTCATGTAACCATATCATTTAGTGATGGCAACCCTGGTTGCCACCATAATCACAAGATGTGTGGGTTGCTAACCAGG